GCACATTCAAACATCCCAGCTTAAAGCTTTCTTCTTTATATTGTTATTAAGCTTTATATTGTCATTAAGCTGTATGGGAAAAGGAGTTACTAATCCATTGCTCCGGCATTCTAGTTGACTTTCACAACACTCAAGACTTACGCAGGAAAAATTCTTATTCCTCATTTTCGTGGATATGAAAGGAAAGTAATAAGAACAATAACTTAAAAAAAAAAAGACAACTCAGGTGAGTGTATATACATAAATGTGGAAATATATGTGTAATGTGTGACCTAATTGTAAGTAAAAGTAACAAGATATATATGTTACCTTGTGTGTTTGACACAAAAGATAACAGGTATATCTTGTTACTTATACTTGCAGATACAAGTTTCTGTCTTACACTCATTTGGCGGGACAGTAGTGTTTCTCTGGGTGGTTACTGTCTACTAGCTTATTACCTGTTAACTATGTAAATATATATATTAGTACTAAAAGCAAGAATGCGTAATGTTTGGTGGAGGGAGGGTTCTGTAGCCGTTTAATTCATTATAAACGCTCATTATATATAGCGTGAGGACGGGATTAATTAAAAAAAGCAAGCAATTGCAGCTTTTAGAAACATTCTTGAAAAAGAGGGTTAATATCTAGTGTGAAAGTCACTGTCGAGAAGCTTGACTTACAACACCTCTAGGGAGGGTTTTAATACATGGGCTTTAAAGAAATCTGGTAATAGAATTAAATAATGCAGGGGTTCATAAACTGCCATTGTGACTGCCAGAGCCTGCTGCCGCACTCCTGCCTTTCCTTGATACAACAACCTCATTTTCTAATACCAACATGGTGATATGGCCTAGGCATGTACACTTAGCTTATCATGTACACACTTGTCTCCCAACCCTCAGGTAGAGAGGACGTCCGTGGAGCTGCACTTTTGACCCTTGATGGCAGGTGACAGTACCTTCATAATGGCGGAAGGTGGACGCAGGTGTGTCAACACTCTTTGTGTGGAACTGGTGAGGGGCACGCTCAGCACCCAGAATATCCATCTGTTGCTGATGGCGATACTGAGAAATATGTTTTGCATCGCTAACGAAGATGTTTATGGCATCTCGTTGAATGGTGTAACAAGAATCTTCGTCAAATTTCGGCAAGGTAGCACTTGTGAAAATATGGTAACCAGGTACCAGGATGCGAAATTGATGGTTAACCCTGGCGTTAGTGTTCGCCTTAATGATGTATCAAGGTTTTACACCTGGGTCAAGGTGCTCAATGTGCCCTTTGAAGAAGATGAAAGTGATTTAAGGGACGTCTTTGGACTTCATCGGACGATACACTGGGGCGACTTTGGGGCGTTGGCGTGATGGCCCGTATCCTGGAATCCCGGAAGCGACGGTTTCCCTCAAAATGTCCCTAAAGCACCCTATGCCATCATATGTAATGCTGGAGGAATTCCGTACTGAACTTTATGTCACGTTCGCGGGACAGAGACGTACGTGCCGCCTGTGTGGGGCATATGACCACATACCGGCACATTGCCCTACGCGACGAGGGAGATCGATGGTAGGAGCAAGGACTGATGATACACAGGAGCAGCAGACTTATGCTATGGCAACGCAACGTGAGCCTCCGTCACGAGAGGCTTGGAGTGAGGAGGTGGAGAGGGAAACAGCATTGTCTCATGAATGTGTGACCCTCCCTGGACTTGGGGAGGACGTAGGCTTGGTGTCAGCGACGGGCGAGGTAGAGCCTGTGATAGCTGAGGATGTGATGGATGCCTCCATGCATGAGGCTTTGCACGAATTGTTGGATGTATCGGCGCCTAGTCTGATTAACGCTGGCTTGAATAAAATACATGTGGAGGCAGAGGTGGGAGGCCTCATCGAGGAGATAGTGTGTGGTGAGGGGCTGGTTAAGGATGTAGTAGTGGAGGTCCACTGGGCCGACACCCAGAAGAAGACCATGTGTGAGAAACGTAGCTCTCGTAAGAGGGCGGCTATAATATCAGCTAGTGAGGATGTTTTGACTCCTGGACAAAGATCTGGGAAGAGAGCATGGCATGATGTGGCAAATAGAGATACAGGTGGCTCGAAGAGTATTGAGCATGTGCAAGGGGAAGGCAAAGGGGGGTGTGGGGGTCGGGGTGGGGGTTCTCGCCTGGGTTCTAAGAACGTTAAGGGGCCCAAAGGCAAAACCCCACTATATCCTTCAAGTATCTTACTTTAAATGTTAATTGGTTAAAATCAGAGGGTAAGTGTAAGGATTTTGAACTATTTGAGGAGATATATACCAGACCGTGTGCTCCTGCAGGAACATAATTATAAATCTTTAGGTGAGTTGTTGATACCTGGTTATAAGTTGTATATGGGTTGTTCCACACGACTGAAAGTTGGTGTGGCGTTGTTAATTAAAGAATCCAATCCATTTATTATGCAGAAATATGAGGTAGGGGAGGAGGGGAGGGTGTTACGGGTGGATGGTACATAGGGTGAGGCTCAGGTGGGATTCATAGGGGTGTATGAGCCTGTGGAAGGGGACATGGGTGTTAAGAATAGGTTCTTTAGGGACGTCCTTGTCTATCACTTAAGATCGCTGCCAGTTGTTACGATTATAGGAGGTGATTGGAACTGTGTAGTCAGACATAAAGATGTGGAACCTAGAGGGAGGTTTTTTTTCGGGGGTTATAGGGGATCTGTTGCAAAGTGTGAATGTAGTGGATGTGGGAGGGGAGGAGGTGGGTGGGGTGATGCACACATTTATTAAGCGAGATTATGTGGCAAGGCTTGATCTAATATACTATCTCGTGGGGCGAGGGTGGGCAGTACGTATGTGTTGAATGTGAGTTTCTCTGATCATAGAGGGGGTTATGGTGGACTTGAATTGGGAGGGGTTGCCAAAGCATTTCAAGGAATATTGGAAGATGAATGCTGGATTATTGCATAAAGGGAGAGGGAATCTTTTGCGAGTGCTTGCAGTTGGTGGTGGGCTGTAGGCAGGGGGGATTTACATTACCTTGAAGGTCAATTACAGGAATGCTCTGTGGGAGGGGTGGAGTGTGTGAGATTGAGGGTCTGAAACAGCTGATTGGAGATATTCAAAATCGTAGTTTAATGTGGCGCGTGTTGTGGGAGGACTTGAAGAGATCTTATTGGGTGACCGACATTCAGCGTGCATCTTGTAGGAGCAGAGGAAACGTCGCAACATAGCAACAGAAGGTATAGGTTATCATGTGGATGCATGACATAAGACACATGGTAAGAGTGTGGGGGTTAATTGTGAGGCGCTAGGTGCAATAGGTGAATGAGTATATTGTAATCTCGTGCATAAAAATCGGTTGGACTTGAATAGGCCTAAAAGTGAGGAGGAAATTAGAAGGGCAGTGGAGGGAATGAGTATGGAATAATCGCCGGGTATTGACGGTATCCCCTGCGATTTTTATAAGGAAAATTGGGAGTGTTTGCATGACTTTTTAGTGTTTTTATTTATTGCCATGAAAACCAGGGGCAGGCTGGGGGAGCAGCAGAGAACAGGTGTGGTGGTCATGATCACTAAAAAGGAGTCTTATGAATATGTGCATGATTACCGATCGATTAACTTAATGTGTGGTGATTACAAGATCTTTGCTAAAGTGTTAGGAAATAGGATGAAAAGAGTTTTTGACAAAGTTTTAGATGAGGGTTAATATGGGGTGCCTGGGCGTTCGATGTGTGTTTGGCAAGGGCAGGTTTATAGATGAAAGTGGGGGGGGGGAAGAAGACAGTGGGGTATTAGCGTTACTCGACTCTATGACCGCGGGTTCAATCCCGGCCGGGGGTATGGTTTATTAGCGTTAGATTAGCATGTGGCGTATGACTGTGTAGAGTGTGAGGCGTTGTGGAAGTTTTTGAAATGGCAAGAGTTCGGGAGGGACATTGTCAGTTGGGCTAAGGTGATGTATGAGCAGGCTGTGGTAAGGGTGCAAATGAATGGTAGGTTAGGGAAACTTACTAGGATGGACCGAGGCTTGTGGCAGGGATGCCTTGTGTCGCAGCTTCTATTTGCGTTGCTCCAGGACCCGTTTTACAGGGCTGTGTGATGGAGTGTAAGGGATGGAGTGGTGAGGGATGGGGTGTCTGTAGAACCGGGGATCGTGGGTTATGTAGATGATACCACTGTTCTGTTCAGGAGGTCTGAGGATTTACAAAAGGTGGGTGAGCTGGTGGAGAGATTTGGAGTGGCAACGGGGATGAAGATGGGTGGCATCCTGGGTGTTAGTGGACTGATGTGGGTCGCATCCTGGGTGTTAGTGGACTGATGTGGGTCGCATGCTGAGTGATAGTGGACTGATGTGGGTCGCATCCTGGGTGTTAGTGGATTGATGTGTGGTCGCATCCTGGGTGTTAGTGGACTAATGTGAGTCGCATCCTGGGTACTAGTGGACTGGTGTGGATCGCATCCTGGGTGTTAGTGGACTGGTGTGGGTGGCATCCTGGGTGTTAGTGGACTGATGTGGGTGGCATCCTGGGTGTTAGTGGACTGGTGTGGTTGGCATCCTGGGTGTTAGTGGACTGATGTGGGTCGCATCCTGGGTGTTAGTGGACTGATGTGGGTGGCATCCTGGATGTTAGTGGACTGGTGTGGGTAGCATCCTGGGTGTTAGTGGACTGATGTGGGTGGCATCCTGGGTGTTAGTGGACTTTTGTGGCTCGCATCCTGGGTGTTAGTGGACTGATGTGGGTGGCATCCTGGGTGTTAGTGGACTGGTGTTGGTGGCATCCTGGGTGTTAGTGGGCTGGTGTGGGTGGCATTCTGGGTGTTAGTGGACTGGTGTGGGTCACATCCTGAGACAAAACTGACCTAATTTGCGGGAAATATTCAGCATAACAAGGGTTTTTCTATATAGTAGTATGTCACTGATGTAAGCTATGATCTGTATACCATGTACATGTACTGGTAGTAAATAAAGATATTATTAATATTATTAGTAGTAGTAGTAGTAGTAGTAGTAGTAGTAGTAGTAGTAGTAGTAGTAGCAGTCTTACCGGCGATCAAGTCTCCAAAGCCAATGGTAGTGAGTGTGATGAAGGTGTAGTAGAGGGAGTCCTCGTAGGTCCAGTCCTCCAGCTTGGAGAGCACTACTGAAGGTACGATCATGAACACGATGACACCCAACATCAGGTACATCAAGATAATGCCGTACAGCAGCGCCGTCTGGTGCTTCAGGTGGCGCTTCTGAGGAACAATAACAACATAGTAATGGTAAATTTACCGACAAAATATTAGGCAAATAGACACAGATGGAAGAAATGTGATCATTTACTCTGGCAACATTACGTTCTCCAGGAATCATGTCAAGCCGTTACAAACATTTCAAGGACACTGAGAATATATATAGGTACCACGTGAGATGATAGTAGTAGTAGTAGAAGTTACAGTTTGTAACGGCTGAGTTGTAACGGCAAGGATGCTACGTGACAGCAGGGATTTTGTTCCACTTATCTTCACCTTTAATGTCAGACTAATACTTCACAATATCCTTTTTAATTATAAATTTCTTCAACCTATATCCATTGCTGGGAGTTCTGTCTTGGTTAGATGTCTTCAACACTATATCTATATCCCCCTTATTTATTCATATTTTTGTATATTTCACTCATACCGGAACTAATTCTACACCTTTCCAAAGTGTGCCAGTTCAGTGCCTTCAGTCTATTTTCATAGGATAGATATCTAATACATGTAATCAGTTTCGTCAACCTTCTCTGAGTACATTTTCTAGGGTATTCACGTCAGTCGTGTAATATGGAGACCAGAACTGTATATCAGTGGTATACAGTACCGAAAAGATGATAAGATAGAAGCATGTGAAACATCTGAGCATCTTTATTTTGTAAACGTTTCGCCATCCAGTGCCTTCATCAGTACAAAATATGGATTTAACCTGAAGACAATAGAGTTATATACTGAAGAGGAGGTAATCAGTCTCTCAGATTAGGAAGGTACTGAGCACCGTGGTCTTGAAGAATCTAAAGCACAGGCAGCAAGATTGGGGCTTATATACCGGACTCAGATGAGATGCAGCCGATGAAGACATTATCTCTGGTAGGTGTGATTTCCCAGTGGAAGTAAGACATACCCAAGAGTTGGGACAGGAGGTAGTAACATTGCTGAGAATTCTACCTACCACTGACAATGCCTTCGTCTGCTGCATTTCATTTGGCTCTAATACATAAGCGCCAATATTTCCGTCTATGGTTCAGATTCATCAGCAATACCGTGTTTATCCTCTACTAGTAGGCGGAGGGACTGATTGCCTTGTCTTTTATTGTTTTCAGTATAAAGCTACTATCTTCAGATTATGTGTTTGTTCTACTAATAAAGGATACTGGATGGGAAACCGTCTACAAAATAAACATAGCCAGATGTTTAACACGCGTCTAATTAATCATCAAGTCCATGTTTAAATAACAAAAAGGCACAATACAGTGACTGGAACGATACACAAATAACCCGCACATAGAAGAGAGGAGCTTACGACGACGTTTCGGTCCGACGTGGACCATTCACAAAGTCACAAAGTGTGGCTTTGTAAATGGTTATTTTTGTAAAGTCCAAGTTGAATACGCTGATATACAACTTGTCAGAGAGAGCTACATCGTGCAACAATTCCTGGTCCAATTCTTGAACATGGTCTACATCCCCGCACACACGCACAAGGAGATCACCAAGGCAGGGTAATCGCCAAGGCAGGGTGATCACCAAGGCAGGGTGATCACCAAGGCAGGGTGATCACCAAGGCAGGGTGACCACTAAGGCAGGGTGGTCACCAAGGCAGGGTGATCACCAAGGCAGGGTGATCACCAAGGCAGGGTGAACACCAAGGCAGGGTGATCACCAAGGCAGGGTGATCACCAAGGCAGGGTGATCACCAAGGCAGGGTGATCACCAAGGCAGGGTGATCATCAAGGCAGGGTGATCACCAAGGCAGGGTGATCACCAAGGCAGGGTGATTACCAAGGAAGGGTGACCACCAAGGCAGGGTGATCACCAAGGCAGGGTGATCACCAAGGCAGGGTTGTGGAAAATACTGTATATTTTCCGGAAATACGGTAATTTATAGGTAAATGGATGCCCTATATTGTATTTTTAAAAGAAGTATGTTATCGAAAATGGGAAACTGAAGCTGCGCCTGCGCAGAAGAACAGTCGCCATTGTTGTTTGAATGGAGTAAGACGTTAATTAATATTGTGAGGAATTTTCGTGCTCTAGAGGTTAAATTGGGTTGACACCTCTCAAATAGGAGGCGAAATTGTTGGATGTGCATTCCTGCATAATTTGAGTATCAGGTGACTGGACAAGACAGCTCCAGGAACCTCAGATAAGTCTGTTTATGTTTAATTCTGGCCAGTATTTTCATAAATTTAGACAGTGAGGTTTTCTGAGTATGATACACATTAATCTCCAGTCAAATTGGTGAGTGATATTAATATATATTTTCCTTCTGTTACGTAACTGTGTATATATATAACCATTTATTATTTTTAATATACAGTCCACAAATTTATATATTTACCAGCATTCCTGGTGTATGTATATTTCATTTAATTAATAGGTTCTGAGCAACTTGTGGATACGACAGTGGTAGGTATCGAAGGGGGACATTTTTTGCGACCTAAGTGTCCCAAATTCCTACTTGTCTAACTGATAAATAATAGTTATCATTGTTCATTTACTGTTAGGTATATAATTATACATCCAAGTAAATGTAATTTTCCACATTTAATTTGCCCGTTGGTCCTTCTTGAACCGGAGGTAATTAGTGAAGTCATTAATTAGTTAATTACTCAATAATTATATGTGAAATGACAGAAAGAGATGGATGTTAAGTTCACAAATTTACTTAATGTGTAGTGGATTATAATTATTACAATATTAATTTTGATAAGTCAAGTCTTGCTAAGTTTATATTAATTTGTTTAATATTAATTTGATAAGACAATTCTGGCCAAGATTTATATCAGTGTATTTGTAATTGATAAGACAGATGTGGCTAAGATTATAATGTGTATAATATTAATTTTGCTATTCCAAATTCTGGCAAGGATTTATATTAATTTGTATAATAATTTTGATAAGCCAAGGCTGGCTAAAGGTTTGTACTCATGTACATTTAAAATTTATATTTCAGTCTTTTATATGTAACTGCTAAGCTCAAGTAGCTAGGATTTATTCAAAGGTAAGTTGTATCAGTGTTGTAAGTTGTAATCAGTGTTATTGATTGGATTGAATTTAATACATTGCATCATGGCTGAAATTGAGGAAATTAATGTAGAAGACAAACATATGGAATATAGAGCAAAGAAAGCATCACTGCAAGCTAGAAAGGGTCATGTAACCAAGGCATATAATAAATGTTTGGAATTAATGAATCAAGAAACTGTGAATACTGATGATTTAAAATTGTATTTAGATGCTTTAGGTAATAGATATGATTCATACAAATTATATTACAATAAATGTGAAGGAGATTTGTTAGTAAACTGTGTAGATGAGACTGAAGTAGATCTCATGATTAATCAGTATTATGAATTAAAGGAAAAGATTCTTTCTTGTAAAAGTCAGGCCTTTAATAAATTAAAATGTGTAAACCAGACAGTTAATCAGTCTGCTCCAACAAATAATATGTCTTTGCCAAAACTCCCAGAATTGTGTTTGCCTGTGTTTAATCCTGGAGAAAATTGGTAGGAATTTTGGTCAATTTTTAAAGCAGCTGTGCATGACAGGAGTGACCTAGCCTGTGTAACTAAATTATTTTGCCTCAAAGGACAGGTAAGAGGAGATGCTCACATACTCATACAAGCCTTTTCCAATGTAAATGACTCTTACAAGGAAGCAGTTGACTTGTTGAAGGTCACTTATGGTAATATAGAACAAAGTAGGTTGGATCTAGCGAATATCATTGTTAATTTAAAATCCCCAGATCACACTTACAAAGGTTTACAGCAGTTTAGAGTTAAACTGGAGAGCACTCTCAAAACTTTAAGTAATAAATATAATCTGAAGGATTCAGAGTGCCATGATACAGAATAAATTAAACTATAAAACAAATAAATATCAAACAAATATCACAAGGGTTATTTTGGTCTGGAGGAAATAAGACTAGGTCTACAAGAATTGATTGTGCAGTTGCAGACCAGCCAACTAACTCATTTTAAAGATGCAACACATGATAACTCTGAGGTATCTGCCAAGTTTCACAAAGGGAAAAATGATCCTAATGTTAATAATCAAAATTCATTTCCTAAAAGGAGTTACATAGGGGCATATCAAGGAGCAGGAATCAGAAATAATGATTCTCCACAAGGTAAGAAGAATAAGTGCCCTCCTAAGAGTAGCCCAGTTAATAAGAAACAAGTCAAAGAAAGGAGAGATTGTCTTTTCTGTAAGGGTACTCATTTTTCTAAGAATTGCAATGCATACAATTCATGGAATGATAAAGTTGAAAGATTGGAGGAACTTGACAGATGTATCAAGTGTTTAGGTAATCACAATGTAAAGGATTGTCATGCTAAATTAAACAACTGTTATCAATGTCATAAAGGAAGACATCATATAGTCATGTGTAAGGGTCTATATGATAATATTGATAATAATGATAATGTTAACAATCCTGACACAACAGTGGCTAATGTAAAAATTGCTGCTAATGTTAATAATGATGGTTTTGCTGAAGTAGCCTTACCTGTGTTACAGGTAAAAATTGATGATGAAAGGTATAAATCAAAAAATGTAACTGCATTATTGGACCAGGGATCCCAGCGTACTTTCATAAAACGTAAATGTCTTGATGGTATGAAAGTACAGATGGGAGATCCCACAACTTTAAAATTATCTGGTTTTCTCTCGGATAAAAGGTCTCAATTGTATGACACTGTTTATGTAACTGTCAGGTTGGGCAATGAGAAAAAACGTGTTAATGCAGTAATTATAGACTTCCAGAGAAAATATCTATAGTAGGGCTTAGTAAAGCTACAGAAAGACTCTCACATAATGTAAATTTAGCACCTTCTGGTGTAAGTGATGATTCTGTAGGCCCAATAAATATTTTGATAGGTAGTGACTATTATGCCTCCTTTGTAAAGGGTATGGTAAAGAAGTGTGGTGTCACCCTTTTGAAGACTGCAGGAGGCCATGTAATGTATGGTAGGATTCCTCATAATAATAATTCATGACTAGAGGAAACTACGAATACCATAACTGTGTGTCTTACTTATGAAATCGTACCCCAGTATAATTCTTCCATAGAGGATGGTGTTGAGCCCAGTGCATAAATTGTGGGAAATAGAAAGCATTGGAATAAATGTAAATGAAGAAAGTCCAGACGATTCTTTTACTCAGGAGCAATACCTGAGAGATGTAAAATTTGAATCTGGACAATACTGGGTGCGACTTCCGTGGAGACTGAACCATCCAGAATTGACCACTAATTACAGAATGGCATATGGACAGTTAAATGCTCAGCTCCGCGAACTGAGTAAGACACCAGAATTTTTAATTGCCTATAATGATATAATTGCTGAGCAGTTAATTAATAAATTTATAGAAGAGGTACCTCCTGAGCAAGCCAAAATTTATGGTCACTATTTGCCACATCACGGAGTGATGAAGGATTCTAAGACCACTCCTTTGAGGATTGTGTTTAATTGTAGTGCCATGAGTAACAAAAATGTACCTAGTTTAAATGACTGTTTGATGACAGGTCCATCGTTGACGGAAAAATCAGGAGATGTCTTATTAAATTTCAGAGTGAAGCACTATGCCTTTATGACTGACATAAGTAAAGCTTTCCTAAGAGTGGGTTTACAAGAGGCTGACCGGGATTGTACCCGCTTCTTATGGCCTGAGAATCCTATTGACCCACTTAGCCCTCTGAAAACTTTTCGCTTTAGGAGCGTATTATTTGGTGCTACATCCAGTCTGTTCCTACTTCAAGCGACGATAAATGCACACCTTAAATGTACGGGAAGTCCATTGAGTAAAGTAATGAGCAAACAATTTTATGTGGACAATTTCCTGGGTGTGACGTCAACTGAA